TTCTCTCTAACCCTCTCCCCTTCCAACAACCCTCCCATCCCACCCCCATGCACCCGAGGTTACCTGGGACTCTTGTCTATATCCTACCTCCTGGCGGATAGCTAAATAATCTTCATCAGGTTCATCTTCTTATTTAGCCTCTCTAGGATCACGAATTATAGGCTCAAAGATCTTTAATTATGGTTAGAATCCACTTATGAGTGAATACACACCATATTCCTCTTTTTGGGTCTGGCTTATCTCACTCAGTAAAGCGTTTTCTATTCCCATCCATTTGCATGCAAAATTCAAGATGTCATTGTTTTTTACCGCTGAGTAAAACTCTAATGTGTATATGTTCCACACCTTTTTTAACCATTCTTCTATTGAGGGGCACCTAGGCTGTTTCCAGGTTCTGGCTATTACAAATAGTGCTGCTATGAACATAGTTGAACAAATGCTTTTGTAGTATGCTAGGGAATCTCTAGGGTATATTCCCAAGAGTGGAATTGCTGGGTCCTGAGGGAGGTTGACTCCCAGTTTCCTGAGAAACCGCCACACTGATTTCCACAGTGGTTGCACAAGTTTGCATTCCCACCAACAATGGATGAGTGTTCCCCTCACCCCACATCCTCTCCAGCATAGGCTATCATTGGTGTTTTTGACTTTAGCTATTCTGACAGGTGTAAGATGGTATCTCAAAGTGGTTTTGATTTGCATTTCCCTGATCGCTAAGGAGGTTGAGCATGACCTTAAGTGTCTTCTGGCCATTCGAAGTTCATCTGTTGTGAATTCTCTGTTCAGTTCAGTACCCCATTTTTTAATTGGGTTAATTAGAGTTTTAGTGTCTAGTTTCTTGAGTTCTTTGTATATTTTGGAGATCAGACCTTTGTCTGATGAGGGGTTGGTGAAGATCTCCCAGTCAGAAGGCAGCCTTTTTGTCTTACTGACAGTGTCCTTTGCTTTACAGAAGCTTCTCAGTTTCAGTAGATCCCATTTTTTCATTGTTTCTCTTATTGTCTGTGCTACTGGGGTCCTACTTAGGAAGAGGCCTCCTGTGCCTATATCTTGTAAACTACTTCCCATTTTCTCTTCTATCAGGGTCAAAGTGGTCGGATTAATGTTGATGTCTTTAATCCATTTGGACTTGAGTTTTGTGCATGGTGATAGATATGGATCTACTTTCATTCTTTTACAGGTTGACATCCAGTTATGCCAGCACCATTTGTTAAAGATGCTTTCCTTCTTCCACTGTATACCTTTAGCTCCCTTGTCGAAAATTAGGTGTTCATAGGTTTGTGGGTTAATATCTGGGTCTTCTATTCGATTCCATAGGTCGACTTCTCTGTTCTTATGCCAATGCCAAGCTGTTTTCAATACTGTAACTCTGTAATAGAGTTTGAAGTCAGGGATGGTAATGCCTCC